CATGGGACCACTGCCTGCAGCAGCGGCTCGTTCCAGGTCCATGTGGACGTCTTCAGGTTCTCCTTCAGCCAGGGGGAAGTTCTCCTCTTCCAGAGCCTCGTTCTCCACCTGCAGGAGGTCAGACAGCAGCAGCTCGGCCAACGAGGAGCGGGTCAGATCCTGGTAACGGTAACAACAGGAAGTTAGGATGAGCTCTGGACCAAACAGAATCAAGAGAGAAAATAAAGAAGAAAAAACGGTTCTGTAACAAACTAATATGAGGAGAAAAGGAAAAGTCGCCTTAATTCATGACAAAAGGAAAAAAACACAAATTAATAGTTTTAAGTCTAGTGATTGTAGCGTTAGCATGTTAGTGGGGTGAAACAATGACAGTATATAAATACACCACAAATATCCCAGTGGAGTTATCTTATCCTCGTGTGTGTGTGTGTGTGTGTGTGTGTTTACAGTAGGTTTCGTGTAAAACTCGAGTCACAGCCGTGCGTTGGTGGTTTCCTCACCACCGACTGTTGGCGTCGCTCTAACTGTCATTTATCAAATCCATGTCACTAAAAAGACTCCAATAAAAAACTCTGTAGGAGTTTCTAAGATTTTACAGGTGATGGTTCTGCAGCTGGCTGTCATCGAATCACTGCAGTCTCTGAGGAGCTATACTGCAAAAACACAACCACGTTTCTGGACAAAATTATTTTATTTTAAAAAATGTGTTTTCTGTTGATGATTTTTTTAACCATAATAAAGATTTTAAATCCTGCTCTTAAACACAATACAAGAAGTAGGAAGAACAGAAGAAGAATAATCTTATTTTATTTCTAATAAATATAATAAATAATACATATTCCAATTAAATCAATCAATCAATAACGATCACCATTCTTAGTCTTATGATGACGGGGCGGATCTTCAGAAACATCATAAATGTATTTGTTTTCAGAGACACAAAATAGTACTTCTTATGTTGGTGTTGAACTGACTCCAAATATTTATTTTATTATTTATTTTGTTGCCAGCCTGTGAATTTCATTCTCATAGTTATGGTAAAATGTTAACTGCATAAGATTCATCCTAAAACATGAGAGAACACGTTCCCTAAATTAAAATGACATCAACCATTGACAGGATGATACCATACAATGACTTCAATGTTCTCTTCAGCATTAAAGACGTGATTATTATTAATGAAAATAATATTTTAATTTTCGACGTAGTTAAATAAACTGTCCTGGATTACACTGCATTACAAGTGGTCATTTCGACACTTTCTTCACGATAATATTTAATACACAGCAGCAGCAGCAGCAGCAGCAGCAGCTGAGCTTCTTCTGTAGTTTAACTCTAGAAACATAGAAATGATCGAAACCCAGACGTCGTGAACGTCACTGTCGGGAAGAAAAAATAAAATAAACTCTAGGTATTTGCGAAAAATGTTTTTCAAATGTATCAGTTTTACCTCAGTCATTTCTGTTAAAGTTAAGCTTTCTGGAATCTCAGTTCCAATCACAACCTGGAATTTGAATGCTTTTCAAATTGTTGTATTTTTTTAAATTTTACATCAACGAATTTGGAAAGAAAACGATATTCTCACGGAACTCTACTTCACCGAATAGGTTTTACTTTTTTTCATGGTTTTGTCCAAATGTCACAGCGTGTGCGTGTGTGTTTGTCTATGTATACGCGTGTGTGTGTGCGCGTGCACGACCTGTTTGGAGCTCAGCAGCGGGGCCCGGTGCAGCAGCAGCCGGAGTTTGGAGTCTCTCTGTGCCGCGGAGGAGTAGCTGATGAAGGCGGTGAGGGAGATCAGGAGGAGGAGGAGGCAGCGGAGGCGTGAAGAGCAGATCATCTTTCTCACCTGTCTGTCTGTCTGTCTGTCTGTCTGTCTGTCTGTGGATCTCAGGATCTTCTGTCTCTGTCCCGTCTGAGTCGCTTATATAAAGCCCGGCTGACGTCACTGTCTTGGGGTGAAGGTTGGGTTTGGGGGGTGAGTGATGATGATGGTAATGATGAGGTGGTGGTGGTGGTGTCGAGGATGATGATAATGATAATGTTGATGATGATGCTTCCTCCCCCCCCCCTCCTCCGCCTCACGCTTTAGTCAAATGAACCGTTCTCACACTCTTTGATTTTCCTTCACGCACCTTCTCACGCTGTGGACCTCCGCAGGGCCGCGTCCAGCAGTTTAGGGGCCAGTGCTAACATAGGGCCCTGTGCACCTGCCACCATGTGGAAGGATTCTGGAGGAACATTGATGACGTGTGTTCAGGCCTGATGGGTTACTGCTGTATGAAGAAAACACTTGATTTGGAACAACAAATACACTGGCATTCACTGAGGTTACTGCATTTAACCCAATACTGCAGACACAAAGTACTTCAGAACTTCAGCTTCACAGTAGTTAAAAATACAGTGAACAAATGACTGTGAAAATGATGATAATTTATGAAGACGGGGATAATGTGTGATAAAAAGGTTAGGCTCTCAGTATTACACCGTGTTAACATGATCAGAATGCCAGGACTGGTCCAGCCTAATTAAAAAGTATCTCAGAAGTACTGTAATACAGAGTACGGTCAGCACATTTTATTTGCAGTCCACCTTCCTACTATGCAACTCAACTTTTAAATTGTGTGTCATATCGTATCGTATTGTATGATATGGTATCATATTCAGTAACTGCAGTGATATGAAAGCCAGTCGCTCCACCACAAACACCGTCTGGACAGAACTCTATGACGACGGGGTTCATGACCAAACAGTTGACGTGCTGCGACTGGTCTCTGAGAGCATTTCTGACTAATCCTCTGTCCCTGTCTGTGAGAACAACAGACAAGTCTGTGTTTGGTGAAACAACAGAAGAATAAAACGCCAGAGGGACATTTTCTACTTTAAAGGCATTGTTACAACAAATTCATTTGCAAAAATAAAAATGAGTTTAAAATGAGTCCTCTGTCTGTTTTAATGTGTCACAGGAAGTGTGAGATGATGCAGAGTTGCTGGCCTTTTTATTCTTTCTTATTTTTACTGCCCTTTATGTAACAGGAAGGTTTCACTCAGGCCACCAGAGGGCAGTAATTATGCCCTTTAACCACAAGAAAAAGAAAAGAGTCATCATAAAAAAGAGTCAACACCTCTGAAACCATCAGAGCTCTGTATCCACCTGAAGACAAACCCAACACCTCTGAAACCATCAGAGCTCTGACTAACAGTCAATGGTCCTGACACCTGGTCCCACTGACACATGGTCCAGTGATCCACGGCTGCTGCACAGGACACATTTCACAGCTGTCCAGCAGTCTGGCGGTGGAGACACGTCCACGTCCACTGAGATTACGGCAGCTGTCTGCTCCTGATTGGTTCAGCCTTGGTTCAGCTGATTACTGTCAGAGTGAAGAGGACATGAACAGAGAGGGCGATGTTCATGTTGGCACTAATAATAATGATAATAAAGGACTAGTTAGCTGTTGGTTAACTCAGTTTGGTTGAGTTAGTCCAATGTGTCTCAGATGAAGAGGAAAACGTTGGATTTTCAAGTATTTTTCTCCTATTTTAATTTTTCAACTTTCTCTACTCTTGCTGTGTGTGTGTGTGTGTGCCCTCATTACTTTTCCCATAACCAGACTCATTAACCTGTTAAAATAACACAGATTCAACCAATCAGGAGCCTAGACTTGACTTAGTCTTGACCTGAGTTTTTTACTTTCTTCCTTTACTTGTTTTCTCCTCTCCTTGGTTCCTCCACTCCCCTCCCCTCCTCTCCTCTTCTCTCCCCTCCTCTCCTCTTCTCTCCCCTCCTCTCCTCTTCTCTCCCCTCCTCTCCTCCCCTCCCCCTCCCCCCCCCCCCCTCCCCCCTCTTCCCTCCCCTCCCCCCCCCCTCCCCCCTCTTCCCTCCCCTCCCCCCCTCCTCCCTCCCTCCCCCCCCCCCCCTCTTCTCCCCCCCCCCCCCCTCCTCTCCTCTCCCCCCTCCTCCCTCCCTCCCCCCCCCCCCCTCTTCTCCCCCCCCCCCCCCTCCTCTCCCCTCCTCTCTTCTCCTCTCCTCCCCCCCTCCCTCCTCCCCCCCCCTCCCTCCCCCCCCCCCCCTCTTCTCCCCCCCCCCCCCCCTCTTCTCCCCCCCCCCCCCCTCTCCCCCCCCCCCCTCCTCTCCCCTCCGCTCCTCTCCTCTCCTCTCTTCTCTTCTCTTCTCCTCTCCTCTCCTTGTTTCCTCCACTCCCCTCCCCTCCTCTCCTCTTCTCTCCCCTCCTCTCCTCCCCTCCCCTCCTCTCCTCTTCTCTCCTCTCCTCTCCACTCCTCTCCCCGCCGCTCCTCTCGTCTCCTCTCCTCTCCTCCTCTCCCCTCCCCTCCCCTCCCCCCCCCCTCCCCCCTCTTCCCTCCCCTCCCCCCCTCCTCCCTCCCTCCCCCCCCCCCCCTCCCCCCTCTTCCCTCCCCTCCCCCCCTCCCCTCTCCTCCCCTCCCCTCTCCCCCCCCCCCCTCCCCTCCCCTCTCCTCCCCTCTCCTCCCCTCTCCTCCCCTCCCCTCCCCCCCCCTCCCCTCCTCCCCCCCCCCCCCCTCTTCTCCCCCCCCCCCCCCTCCTCTCCTCTCCCCTTCCCTCCCCCCCTCTCCTCTCCTCTCCCCCCCTCCCCCCCCCTCCCCTCTCCTCCCCTCTCCCCCCCTCCCCCCCCCCCCCTCTTCTCCCCCCCCCCCCCCTCTCCCCTCCTCTCCTCTTCTCTCCCCTCCTCTCCTCCCCTCCTCTCCTCTTCTCTCCTCTCCTCTCCTTGTTTCCTCCACTCCCCTCCTCCTACTCTCGTCTCCTCTTGGATGTTTTTAATTTATGATTTTATAATAATCTCTTCTGCCCGAACGTTTCTCCCAGAATCCCACTGGGTGGTGGCAGCAGGGAGGTCACATGGTACATGTTGATGTGCTGGGAGGCTGTGTGTTTGTGTGCCAGTTTGAGTGACACACACAAACACACACACACACACACACGCTGTGTTTCTACTCATTGATTAGTGCGGACCGATGGACACGTTCACCTCCACCTGTCACACCACAGCTGTTTTAATGGCAGAGCCCCCCCCCCCACAGTCCCATCACCCCCTGCTGTCTCCATCACCCCCCCCACTCACCCCACCACGTGACATTTGAACACTTTAAAGGAGCATGCCGTACATCATTTACATTTTGAATAAATTAAAGGTCATAATAAGATTTGAGTTTTTTTGTCTCTGTCTTCAAACAATCAAACATTAGAAGTCGAGACTGTCAAGTAATACTGTATATATTCACTACTGATACTACAATAATGAAAATACTGTATATATTCACTACTGATACTACAATAATAAAAATACTGTATATATTCACTACTGATACTACAATAATGAAAATACTGTATACTGTATATTCACTACTGATACTACAATAATAAAAATACTGTATATATTCACTACTGATACTACAATAATGAAAATACTGTAAGTAAAGGTTAGTAGTTCGATCGACAGCTCTAACTGCTGGTTTTCTGTATCTGTCCCGTGTGTGTGTGTGTGTGTGTGTGTGTGTGTGTGTGTGTGTGTTTCCCCCAGTTTGTACTCCAGCTCAGAAACATTTCAGATTCAATTAGTGCTCCTTCTAAACTGACCATGTTCACAGAACAACACTATTTATCACCCTGGAAACACAGAGACTGAGCAGCCAGGTGACAGGGGAAGATAACACACACACACACACACACACACACACGCTGCTCTACCTCAGATAAGAAATGAGTTCTTTTGTTTTTTTCCGTTTCAATCATTTTTGATTAATTCCACTTTCACTTGTTTACATCGGCTTTCTGTGAATTTAATAGTTTTGACTATTTTCTCTCACTGTGAGAGCTTAAATAAATGAAATATATATATATACAGTATATATAATATATATATTTATGTATATATACTGTATATATATATATATATATGTTTATATTAACAGGGCCGACCCCTCCATACACACAGAACACACACAGTGTGCAGGGCACTACAACTGTGGACCATTTTAAGAGACATGCACAAACTGTGTAATTGATTACCAACATAGGATGGACGCTGAGCGAGGTACGGTCTGTGCCTCTTATTTAGTCTGTATTTACTTAGTTCCTTTTTATTGTTAGATTTATTATTTTTAATAAATATAAAAATAATAATCTAATAAACGTAAAAAGTAATAAAATTGTATATACGTATATATGTGAATATATATACATATATATACACACATATATATGTATATATACATTAACACACATTTAACCGTTTATTAATGCTAAATTAGGTGAACTGAGCCCACACGTCAGTTTTTGAATTCTCTGGTCAATATTTGCTCGGCCCTCCCTCTCTCTCCATTTAAAGCTCATTAGACAACACACTGTTTCACTGTGTAAACACACTTTTGCCTGTGCGCACACACACTCACACACACACAGTGATTTTAATCCTTACTCTAATTCTTACCCCAACCTTAAGGTACCCCCCGAGTCAGTGTAGACCCCACAGCGTACACCAACTCACAGACAACAGAAAGTGATTCAATCTTTAATTGTTAATTACATTAATTATTCAGCTTGACTGGAGCAACAGAGCTTCTGATTGGTCCATTCAGGTGAGGCCAGAGGAATTAGGATCGGTTTGATGGAGACGTGGTCTCATCTGACAACAAAAAGACCAAAACAACAGAAACAGGTGAGAAGAAGAAGAAGTTCATCCAAAAACATTTTACTGGCCTGATACTAGGTTGGCAATAAAAACCGAGTGACAGTTGATAGGTCAGTGTTGACCATATTGACCCCGCCCACACACACAATTTATTTCCACTGTCTAGTTATGTTGTCTTTGTCTCTAGATGTGATTTTCAGACAGTATTCTAAAAAACAGACTGTAGGATCAGCAGGCGACTTAGCTGGGCGACTTAGCTGGGCGACTTAGCTGGGCGACTTAGCTGGGCGACTTAGCTGGG